TATATATATATAGATAGATAGATAGATAGATAGATATATACACATGTATACATATATACCTTCATATACCGTATATATATATATATATATATATATATATATATATATATATTTTGCCATTAATAAGTTCACCTAGAAAACATTCTGAGCCTTTTTATTTTTAGGCTGATTTTTAGGCAGATCAAGGTTTTTTGAAACTTTTCAAGGTAGTGAGCCTTTTGTTTTTCCAGATGTACAGATATGAAGCAATACAATGCATATAATCCTCCATGACAGATGAAGTTCACCTGATTTACTGAAAATACGTGTCTTACTGGAACACAGTCTGTATTCCTCATGCCATTAATAGTCCATGATTGCTTGTCTTCTCTGACTCTTTCTAAGTTAAAATGGAAATGTAAGAGAAATTATTTGAAAATGACAACAAATTTCTCAACTTCGGTATTTATCAAAAAAAATATTGCTCTTTTTTTAATAACTTTACAAAAGTAGCGCTGTAAATGTAAAGATTGCAGATCCATGCCCTAAGCTGGGGAACATCTGCTGACAGGTAATCAGTAGCTGTGCTTATTGGCGTACTGTCACCTTTGAGCAGTTTAGTAACCTTAAACATAAGGCCAAAACTATATTTGCATTGTTTAGGTCCAAGCGGGTCCTTCTTTCAGAATGACCAAATCCAGGCCAAATGCAGGAGAGACTATTTGTTAAGACATCAAAATTTATATTACAAACACCTCCAATGTAATCTGGCGAATGTTTATCTGTTTGGGAAACTAGGAAATGCCAAAAATTGTAGATTCTGGATGGGTATAGTTGGTAAGAGAGGTCCAAAGAAAAATATTTCCTGTGGTAGTTACAACAAAATCGTTCCTATAGTACTGACTGCAGCTATGCATTGCTTTCTGCTAGCCAGCATAAAATCTCATCAACATGCACAAACGTAGTCACAATAATGTAAACATTTTTTGAAAAGAGTTGGCACTAATAGTTTGGGGGTTTACTGCAGCTCCAATGACACAGAGGCTCAGACATCTGCATGTTAAACTGTTCATCAAAAGTCTTGATTGATCTAAAGAGAAATCTGGAGATTTAAAGACATGGTCACCATAAAACCAGGGACCTTCAGAGGAAGGCCTCTAATGGAAGGATGCATGCAAGTCTGAGCTTCAGAGGTTTTATAACCATTCATTGGTCATAAATATTGAATGCAGTTTTTATGGTAAAAGATCTGTGGAGAACAACAGAGGAAAAGCTGTGACTTTCAAGTGCCTGTTGGAATAACATGTTGAGTATTTGACTTATAAAGAAAAGGAACTTAGAAGTTAAAAATTGAGCAACAGCCCAAACTATCTGAAATATGTCAGATCGCTCTGATTACTTCCATACGTGGATTTTCCGATTATGATCAACTTGAGTCATGATAGGGCACTGCCGCTTTATTTGTAGCATTCCAACAATTCCAAACGCATAAGTTCAGCGTGTGAAAACCAGCAGCAATGGCATGACTGACAGCCCAGGTTTTAATGGTTCAGTGGTTTTACGTCACCCAGCCTGGCAGCATGGGGGAAAGTTTTAGTTTCGGTCCATCCCATCGCACAGGATACAGTATGAGTTTGCTAAATAACTCAGCGATGAGGAAAAAAAAAATAAAAAAATCTAATTTCACTCTTTATTTCTTGGGGGAGGGGGGAGTTAGAGCTGAATCATTTATTTAATTTTCTTTTTACATCATTGGATCACACATTATAAGGGAATGCTGCTTGCTACGAACCTAAAACACAAATATATATATTTTGCCTTAATTAACTTTAGCTTTATTTATCAGCAGTGATATTGTTAGTGCATTGAGCATCTTCAGTGTGGCCGTACATCACTAGTTAATGCTCTCTGGAATTTATAATCCTAATTGATTAAGTCCAAAAATGACACATACTCTTTACATATATCATGCTTTTTCATTCTTGGTTTGATCTCAGATGTCCTGAACGGCTAAAATGTATGAAAGTTTGGGTTGGATATTTCAAAATTTTAATAAATGAGGTTCAAATCGAGTCCCGGTATATTAAGAGTGAAATACATCTTAATTAGCACCAAATGGAATGCTTCAAGTCAGTATAGGCAGCCATTTTTTTTATTTATTTTAGTACTTACAATCATGCTGACCCTCATTGTCGCCGTCCTGGGCAGGAACCACAATGCCAATTTTATAAACCACCACTGATGATAACAAGCAGGTGTTTATACATGTGTGAAGGTACTGGGTGCATTGCATCAATGCAGAAGGGTCACTCTTTATTAGCAGTGCTAAAATAAGGGGTCATTTCTGGATACCTCCGTGAGGCAGTTAATGCAAGGGTTATAAAATAGGCTGAGTGGGGAGAAAAATATATCAGTTATTAAAAATAAAAGTAATTTAAACATAATAGATTTTTTGGTGACAAAAAGTATGTTTTAAATATATTTGGCTCATTAAAAAAAGAAATAAAAGGGTTAGAAAAAGTATAAGGTGTGTAAATAAAGAATACAAATAAAAGTGCAGAGTTAAATTACAACAGTTAAAAATAAAGGAGAAATATATGTTCATGTCAAGTAATTAATTGATTTTAAATAAATCTCTTATTTTTATGTCTTTTGCATTTGATGACTGACTAATTAAAATGTCAAGATATTAATTAGCAATGGTGCAATTTTTAAGAGTTAATTCATTTTTTGGCTTTTTTTTTTATTATGGCAGGTTTGGTTCTCCATACAAACGACAGCAGGGATTATTTCCCCCCAAATGATAATGAAATGTAGGCTTTATGTCCCATGAATGGATTAAGAATTTGTATTTTATTATTTAAAGCTGCTGCAGGGAAGATGCATCCAAAATGTAAAATGCAGATAGATGGAAATCAGCTCTGAGGAGAAACATGATCGGGTTTTATTTGTCCGCTGATCCGGTTCTGTCCCGGGCAGCTGCAGGAGGCTGCAGGCCCAGATGCGGGGAACCTCTGCAGCTGCAGCAGGATGCACAGTGATGAGCAGTGCGGCAGCCAGCCTCTCAGCAAACTATTATTAAAAATATATGTCCCCTATCTAGCTCATGCATCACTTTCTACTTTGGGGTACTTAAAAAAAAACTTCATTATATGACATAAAAGGTGAACAGCTTTTATACGCATTTGACAACGCAGTGTTTAGTAAACTAAGTTATACGAATTTTAACTGGTGCAGCGGCGCAACTGCGCCGAACATGCATAAAATAAAATACAAAATAAAAAAAGACACTTTAGCAATAATAAATACCCCCTGAATTAGATTAGGGTTAATCAGGGGCGTTGCTAGGCACAAAGCTTTACTGGGGCACTGGCCCCCTACCGCATATGCCCATCCTTCCATACACAAATACAGACAAGCACACTGCCCCACCCTGATATATTCCTACCAAAAATACTAGTTGAGATATTAATGAGTGTAAGAGTATATTTGTTTTAACAAATATACTCTTTGTTAAAACAATGTTATAGCTGCAATGTTGAACATTTTCAACATTGCAGCTATAAAAAATAAGACATCACCAACTTTAAAAATCAAAAATTTCCTTATACACATTCTGAAGTAATCATTAATTTCTAGGTTTCAGAGTTTTATTTCAGGGGAAAGTTTAACTCAACATGAACTAAGTTTTTATTTTATTTTATAAGCATTAAAGTGTACCTCCTATTTTTCATTTTTGCAAAGCGGTCAATCACTAGACTGTGACTCAGCTTAGAAAGTTCTTCCTTTTCAACTGATAAAATAGCAAGATGATGGAGCCTGTCTTGTCCCATTGTGCACCTCAGCCAAGTGTGGAGCTTTCTCAACACACTGAATGACCTTTCACAACTCCAGCTGTAGACTGGGATTGTGAGGGAGATCTGGATGACCTGCGTTAGTGTGGGGAACATGGTGTTATCAAGCAAGTTGAAAACACACTGCATATCCTTGATGACAAGGCTGTCTTTTTCAACCATAAAAAGCTTTCAAACCATTTTGAATTAAATGAAAGTTTTTTTTACTCCAAATTTGTCCTGGGGATAGTGGGACAACTTCACTTGTTTAGGACCATCATGCTTTCCCCCTAATTCACTAATGTCCCCTTCTTGTTTGTGGAAGCTGGTTGTTGCTCCCTCATCACCTTCATGGTCCTGTCTCTCCTGTCTCTCACCTGTCTCTTGCCTGTCAGTCTCGCCTCCTCCTCCCTTTCCTACTCCAGCACCTTCATTCTCATTCTCTACAGCAAACATTAAAAAACGTAAATTTATAATTATGTAAATATCTATCATATTGCTTATAACATTCCTAATGTAACTAGTCAGCTTAAATCACTGATTCATCACGGGACCTTACCTCCCTCTCTCTCATCTTGTTTTACTGCTTCCCTGTCTCTGCTTCATGTGAGGAATTTCCTGATATTCATCTACAAACCAATGCAGTAATTTTCAGTTAGTAGCCTATAAATCATGTGGTTTCACTGGGAAAATAATAAAATTGACAGGTAAGAAACGTTACCAGAACAACGTTTCTTACCTGTCAATTTAAAAGAAAAATGCGTCGCGGCCGCACAGTGTCCCATCCAACTCAGTTGAGAGCAGCGCGTTAGTTTACCTGCAGTTCATGCAGTGACATGCGCTGACGTGGGGGCGCTAATACATCCTCAATTTGGAGTTAACAACACACTTGCTACGCATTTGAGTAGAAATATACTTCTTCTCCTGTTGGAATTATCTAAATTGATGCATTAAAGAAATGTATCACTATTGCAAATATTCATGAGATTTATACTGGGGCACAGCTCATTTATACTGGGGCACGTGCCCCAGTAAATGGGGTCTGGCGACGCCGATGGGGTTAATCTAATGAAATGCATATTTAAACAGAAATATTCCCCTAACATGCACATGTCTCGTTGCTCTGAATGTCAAAGTATAAACGTGTTGACATCCTTTTTTCTCCGCGGTCACAGCGAAGCATTTTACCTTCTGATGGATCTCTGTCCAGGCGGATCCCGCTCATCCCTCGGTCAGGTCGCTCAGTCAGGATGTGTCGGTCTGCGCGTCTCTCGGCTGTCACCCTCCTCTCCCACCACCACCCCGGCTTCCCCTGTGCGGTGTCTCCGGTCGCTTCTATTGAAATCCACACATTTCCTTCACTGCAGCGGCAGCAGCAGCGGCACACGCTCAGATGGACTCACGCTGCTCTAAGCTTTGCTTAACCGTTTCTTCACCGCAGCTCTTCGGGACTGACCGCCAAACTGCTGATTGGTGCATGATGGTCTGGAAGTGGAGCGCCTGAGCTTCACTTGGTTCTTCACCGCCGGTTCTATACAGGGGCCCACCGGGCAGTGGCACCGCCAGAAATGTTTTATGAGGGGGGCCAGATGGGGCCACTAAAAATCTTGGGTGGCACATAGAAACTAAAAGCCATAATTTCAGGGTTTGAATCTAATATTGTGGTAAATCTGCTTGTAGAAATCATAAAGTAGGGATGCACGATATTGGGATTTTGGCCGATATCCGATATGCCGATATTTTAAAACTCATGTAGCCGATATCGATACCGATGTTAAAGCTGGACAAAAATAAGTAGTCATTGAAAATAGCAGTTTTGTTATCCATTTCTGACACTTTGAAAAATAATATACTCAAATATATTTTCATATGCTGATATCAAACTGATTTTTAAAAACGCGGTATCGATCTATTTTACTTTCAAAATCTCGAGAAATTACATTGTTCTGTTACAAACTCTCGTGATATTTTGCAAATTCTTGTGAGATTTTGTTAGTAAAATAGATCGATACCGCGTCAATATATCAACATATAAAAATTTGGCAAAATTTTGTGAATTTTCGGGGGATTTCGTAGCATAACGATGACATATAGCAATATTTCATTAGTAAAAGAGATTGATATGGTGTTTTTAAATGGCAATATATCAGCATATGAAGATATTGGGATATTTTAATGTATCAATTTTTTCCCCCCGCGACTTTAGAAGTTTTGAAGTCTGTAAAAAAGAAGTTTTTGAGGAAGAAGAAGAAGTAGTATTTTTTTTTAGACTTTAGAAACTCAGAAGCTGATCAAATATCGGGTTAAATATCGGTGGGGTGGCCGATGTCCGATATTCAGTTTTAAGGCCGATACAGGCCGATACCGATAGGGGGCCGATTATATCGTGCATCCCTATCATAAAGACTTAAGTAAACACCTCCTTATATCTTGGTTTATTATGAGATTTTTAATGTTACGTCGCTGGATGTGCATAATGGGTTGAAATGATAAACTGATGCTATTACAATTTACACTGGTGAGTGGGGTGGCCAGGGCATTGCCCAGGGTGGCTGTGGCCACCCCTGGCCATCGCTTGGTGGCGCCACTGCCACCGGGTCCTGGCCCCTGTTATGGCCCCTGCACTAAAAGCACCAGTGGTTTCAAAAGTACAAACATTGGTTACTTAAGTAGAAGTATAGATACTGCAGTTTAAAACACTCTGGTAAAAGTTGAAGTATCAACTTGACCTCTTTACTCAAGTAAAAGTGAAAAAGTATGTGCTCCAAAAACTACTTAAAGTATAAAAGTATAAAGTGACCTTTAAAAAAAACCAAAAAAAAAAAACAACCAGATGCCACTTTATGAATTGAAAGCTTAATTTTTTGATTATTTCAAAAAAATCTTATAGATAGGGCCAAGGATGAAGGAGGTCTTGTTGGTCTCCATCTCCTGATACGCTCTCGCCTGTGTCCGACCTTTCAGACATTTCAACATCTTTTTCTGAATCCCACATCGTAGCATGGCATAGACAATTCACGTTAGCAGTTTGAAGAACACCTGCTTGCCTCTGATGATTTCCTTTTGCTAACCAATGAGTGTTTGCGTTATATGACTCATCCAATGACACTAGTTTTCACTAGATGTGGATGGAGCCAATTTATAAACATTAAACCGAAGCCCAGAGTAACGAGTAACGTTTGTTTAAAAAATATAAGGAATAGAAAGTACAGATACTTGTGTGAAAATGTACTGAGTAGAAGTCAGAAGTAGGAGGAAAAATAAGTAATGGAGTAAAATATGGATACCTTAAAAGTGTACTTAAGTACAGTGATGAAGTATTTGTACTTCGTTACTTGACACCTCTGAAAAGCACACACTACAAAAATTGAAGAACAAGTAATTTCCTCTTGAAAAATTTGTATTTTCCCTTGATTTGAGCAGGTAGTTAAGATAAATTTCTAATGGAATAAGATGAATTACATTTAGAATAAGAAAAAAACTCCCCTTATCCTGTTTGAAGTGGATAATATGCATTTATCCTATGTTAAGGGCACACATGCTCGTTCCTTTGGCAGATTATCTAAAGTCCACAAACAGTATGTAGTTAAAAGTCTTCAGCTGATCCAAAATGCTGTAGCCAGAGTTCTGATGAAAATTAAAGAGAGAGATCATATCTCTCCCCATGGGCGTAGGTTTGCATAAGGACCATAGGGACATGTCCCTAACAAAGTTTTGGACAGACCTACTTGTCCCTACCAACCAATTAGATGTGAATATCATGTTTATAATTTACAATACAGCTTTGTTGCAGCTGTAGACGGGTTCTGGATGGAGAATATTGACAGATAAAAACATTTTACAATGGTATTGTAATGGAATTGGTATAATTCCTGCTCTAAGTGGGTCGCTCTGTGAGCTAAAGTCATGTTTTAGAGTCTCTATATACCAGTTAACGATTAATCGATTACTAAATTTGTTGACATTTCAATAATCGCTTATTCCAGTGAATTGTTTCAGCCCAAGATAAAGTACATGAAATGGGTTAAATAGAGTAAGTACACAATAATTTTATTTGGTGTCTCTTGAATCTATTATTTTGCTTGATACAGAGAATATTTAAAAGATAAGAGTGGGTTTTACCAATGCACAATTGTATATCATCAAAAGAGAAAAACAGGATAAATCCACATATAACAGATATAATTAGACTATATTTAGTTAAATTGGCACATATTTATGTTATTTATCATCATCTACGAGCTCAGCCTCTTAACCTTAACATTTGCGTTGCCTTAAAATTCGTTATTTATAATTACATAGGAGCGGGTCTCGCAGCCATGGAGGCAGACATCTTTGCGCTACGGCAGCGCAGAGCCAACAAACTAGCGATTGCGAGATCGCCAAAACGTCACAACGATGTAGAAAAAATAACGGGTATATTTATTATCTTAAGTCTACATGAAATCTATACCCTACACAGACTAATGAAATACTATCTGTAAAATTATCTATGTAAACAAACCTCATCACTTGAGAAGGTAGGTGATGTGGACGTGGAAGACATTTTGTCCCGTAACGCTCGCCGTACTGTTGGGGGGAGAAGCGGTGGGGGGGGGAGATGTTCGTGTTGCTGCGGTCTGCAGTCTGAACGTTAGATGTCGCTGAAAATTACACACTGTAGCTTTAAGGTAAGTTTAAATGCAAACCTTTTCAAAGTGGAAAAAAAGTCATAATTCCTCATTCATCAGAGCCGATGATGCTTTAAACATTGATAAACAGCATTTAGTGTGTGTAGCGCTTATAACATTTTTACAAATGTAGCAAGAAATGCTGCCGCTCTCTTTAAACAAAATACACCCTGATTTTCACGTCAAGCATAAAAAACAAAGCATGCATAATTTTGCATGACATCAGACTTACAGTATAGTGTCCCTACCAAAGTTAAAATCAAACCTACGCCCTTGTCTCTCCCATCCTAGCTTCCCTTCATTGATTTCCTTTTAAATTCTCCTTCTCACATATAAAGACTTAAATGGCCAAGCTCCATCTTATATCAGGATTGTTCCTTATTTTCCCAGCAGAGCACTTCTCTCTCAATCTGCAGGTTTACTAATGTGAGGCAGATCTTTTAGTTATCAGGCTCCTCTCCTGTGGAACCAACTACCAGTTTTAGTCCGTGAGGCAGACACCCTGTCTACTTTTAAGGCTAGGCTTAGAATTGTTTTTGATAAAGCTTATAGTTAGAGTGGCTCAGGTTATCATGATCTATCTTTATAGTTATGCTGCTATAGCCTTTTTCATTGTTCTGCTTCATTCTATCTCCATTCCCCCACTCTGCAGAATCTATTAGTTCAATCTCTAACGTTCTGCTCTCTCTGCTTTTTTTTCGTAGTAGCTTCATCTGGTCTGTTCCTGTTTGGCTGTGACGCCATCCTGGAAGGGGTGGTCAGCTGTGCTGCTGTCATCAACACCTATGTTTTGTGGATGTTTGAGATCGGCCTGTTTTTCCAGTGTAGTCCTGTTTCTCTAATTGTGACTTTAGGTTGTTTGAGGGACCATTTTATTGTGTGCAAATAACCTAGAAATCTAAAACCAGCTATAGCTAAAATATGCAAAAAACACTTGTATCTAGTATCAATACCTAAAGCCTAATCAGTATTGTATCCGGATACAGTGACACTTTTGACAACCCCATTGAGAAGGTTACTCAGTCCTATGACTCAGCAGTAGGACTGGCCAATTAACTGCATTTTCAATATAATACAATTTAACAAAATGCAGTTTTCAAATCGCAGAGGTCCTCAGTTTTAGCCTCAATGCATTTAGCAAAATACACTGAATTTCTCCCTCCATCCCTGTCGGTGACAGTGATACACATAGACTGGGTGTCCTGTGTGGAGCTAGCATGAAACCATGTGGATGAAAGCAGAAGTAAACACGTCTCCTGTGACACAACTCTGTGCAATAAGCTCTCAATGACATAGGGCCAGATTTATCAAGATCCAATTTTGCGTGCAGTCATTTGCGCTAGCAAACTGGAATTTTGCGCGAGGGGCTGAACCATGGTTTGCGGGTGATTTAACAAGAGCGATTGCGTAACTGGTTGCAGGTGCAAAACTGTTGGAGACGCCCTATTTAAATGATGGTTTTGCGCGTTTTGTGGTTTGCGGCAAAGTAGTTTGTAGTTTGTGCAAACTAGTGCATTAAGAAATGTAAATCTTACAGTTACACCCCCAGCCCCTCCAAAAAAAAATGTATATATATATATATATATATATATATATATATATATATATATATATGAATTTTGGCAACCTTTATTCCCTAAGGTGGTATGTGGCTTAATTTCTACTTCACTGCAGTAAAAAAAAAACAAAAAAAACAAGTGTTTTGTATTGGCCTGTAGAAAAATGCACATACCAAATGGCTCACAAGAAGTGACTGTGGATGAGATTACTGCGCGTACGCATCCCCGCAGCATTGGCACGTTGCTCCACAGGCGCAAGGGGGAGG